CCCCCCCCCCCCCCCCCCCCCCCCCCACACACACACACACACACACACACACACACACACACACACACACACACACACACACACACACACACACACACACACACACACACACACACGGCTTGTTTGTCGACTATTCTACGCATGTAAATATCGCCAGTAATAGTAAGTTTAACATGATCTGTCCTTGAATTAATCATGATTTGGTGTTAGATTCTTCTAGGCAACATGTGTCACTGAGGAACTGAGCCCAAGGAACAAATTGATCCATTTCAGTTTTAACAAAGAGTACCTCGAAAAAAGGAGCCAGGAGAATGCAGATGAAAACAACGCGGAAGTTATCCGAAGATTGTGGCCTTTTATGAATTTTTTGCGACCACCGGAGGATGTCAAAAATGTTTGTACCAGCACTTGATATTTTGCACACTTTGTATTAAAGTTTGATGCTGGGAAAAAATATGCCTTATTTCATGTGTTTGCCCAAGGTTTTAGATCTACAAGCTCCAGAACTACAAAGTCTGTGGTTTTCTACTGTTTGGACATTACCTAAGTGGCGGCGAGGTCTGAGCATATGAAAAGTGTTAAATTCTTTCCAACGCAGTTTTCTTGGCCCCTGCACGCGGTTTTAAGTAATCCTACTGCTCTCTGAGCAGTATAGCAGTGCGCTGAAGGTGTACACTGGGCGTTCTTCTCATGACGTTCCCATTAACTTTATTTTTCTTATCTTTTGATACAAAACTATTACGACTTTTTCATTTTGCGACTATCATAGCAGCCACTGAACTAAAATGACCAGAGTAATGCAGCACAGCACTATTTGACCTCAGTGCGTGCCAAAAAAATTATTCTCATAGTACAACTGTACAAAAATACTCTACATTCAGTTGAGGTCACAGCCGCACATCTACGATAACCAGGTTCAGGGTCTTGGAAATTCTTCTTCTCTAAAAAGTGCCTGTTCTCATCTGGCGACAATAACAACCACTCACTTTCCATTTTACAGTAAGGGGGGGAGGGGGGATTGCATCTTTCAACAATCTTCGAAAGACCATCTGTGAAACCTTTGCGCTCGAGAGAGACAAATGCAAATGCAATATTCCGCTTCAGAGCGCTTAAACCTACACCTCTAGCATTCCAGACATTTCTCATTCTAAATGCAAGGCTAAAATCAAGACTGATTCCAAGACGACTATCCGGCGGGGAGAAAAGAATACGGAGATCCGTCGAATAAGTCAAATTGTGGGCAACGTTTTTAGATTGGACCCTATGGAAATTCCCAAGACGTAACCCGTTAGTTGCCAAGATTAGATCAACACGTTTTATCCCATGTAGTCTTCAAGTATATCTGTCGTCAAGCGGTTAAAATCTTTACAAACGCATACAGGTAGGGCGATTTCAACAAGTCGAGCGACTACGAGTGAATGATTCAGAGATTTTCGAGACAAACGTTGAAGGAGTTGATCTGTTGACTGTTCTTGTCTCTGTAGTTTATCTGCAGGATAAGTATCGCATTAAATTCCAACTGCTGCCTCGACTGCCTCCCAGTGATGAATGTCCATGGGTAGAGGACTGTTTAAATTTCCACAGAAGATTGCGCACTGAGAAAAAAAAAAAAGGATTTAAGGAGGGTGAAGCTGTCGAAAGAAACTGTATACTGATCCTTCTAACTGCAAAAATAGTCGCTACTTAAGAAAGCAGAAGGGAACTGGGCCGAGTTAACTTTCACAAAGACTTCTGGGACTGTTACTAGTGACGCGGAGAAAAATTGACCAATAGCTGACCGCCGCGCCCCCGATAACGATCCCAGAAGCAATTGCGGGATGCATTTCGGCTCCAGTTCCCTTTTCAGTCGTTTCTAAAGTGGCGAGATGACTGTGAATATCTCATGGAACGATCACTCGTTCTCTGATTAAAAACAGAGTAGACTATCGATGGGTAGATAGACATTCCGGTGAAAGTTTGGAGGGGAGCTAATTAGATGAATAGCTAGATGTCAGTCTGTGTGATTGGCACACCCTGACGGGGTGAATCCTATCACAGCTTTTACTAAGGAATGAATACGTGTTTACTGGCCCCGGCTAACTGTCTGATGACTGACAGGTACGGACGCTAGAAGACCCAACCGAATGACCAAATATGATTGAGCACCATAACGACTGATTCAATTCACCATTTTAGAAACGAGAAAGGGACCGGAACAAGTTAAATTTCGCTAAAACTTTTTTTGGACTTTAATTAGGGCATTGGGAAACAATGGCCAATAGCTGACCGGCGCGCCCCCGGTGACGTTGCGGGACGCATTTCGGCCCCAGTTCCTTAAAGAGGCCAATCAGACTAACGCACGAGTTAAAAATCAATTATTTCACACTTACCCCAACACTGTCGTTGTATCGTCCAGCTGAGGGTGCTTTTGCTACTTTAGCACTAAATTTCCTTGTTCTGCTTTCTAAAGCTGATTTTCTAAATCGCGGGTCCAGTCTAAAAATGTGTCCCTCCGTACTGAAGATGTAGTTCGAGGCATCTTGATTAACATGGTTTTCACTATCAAACAGCTGGAGAGGGAAAATACGACTGGATTCAGACTAGTCTCGTACTAAATTTTAAATGTAAATATCTTATTGTCCAGTCCCCTCAGGGCTTTTCAGGGGTAATTCCTATCAATGGTTGGGGGAATTTTGCCAGGCTGCCCGTGGCACAGGTTGCAATTAATGACGTAGGTTATGAGTTATGAATACCCCCATTTCATTTTGAGACCCTGAGTGTTGGTCCGCCCGGGGCTTGAACCCACACAATCCCGACAGACCGGCGTTTATCAAACTGATCAGACCGGGCGGAGAAAAGAACTGTACAGCGTACAGGGAAGGGCGGGTTCCATCTCATTTTCTCAATCTTTTTACGACGAAAAATTGACTTCATTAACCCAACTGATATAATCAGTCTCCCGTGTCCAGTCTGTCAGTTGATCGTCTCCTTTGCGATTCTTCGGCTCCACAATTTGTCCACAAGAACTCGCGAAATGTCCTTGCAACCAATAAAAACTGTTCCCGTGCTCTATAAAACTTACTAATACAGATGCGCTGTTTCCTGCGCTTCTTTTGCGCTTTCCTTACACTGAACCGCTTAGAAATTTCTCCTTTTTCGGAAACAAGAGACCTAAAAATACACCCTTTCTGCCTACGGGTACGGGTAGGCACACATGTTTGACAAAAGGCAAACCTGATTTCCCAGATTTGATAATGGCATCACCTTTCTACCCGGTATCGCCTGGCAGTTTCTCCGGGGTAACAGGCCATACACACATATTTACGGCTACGCGTACGGGTAATTTGCAAGTTTTATCGCCATTAATACCATCCTACTGAACTCACACATTCGCGCGTTTACTTTCGTTGCATCTTCTCTTGGCACAGCATTTCAACTAATTTGAACCCATTATAGCGGAGATCTCGCGCGCACGAAGCGCGCGCAGCGAAGCAACCTGGGTAAGAAAATTTGGTTATCTATGCATCCGATAATTTTTTGTAATCACGTGACCGTACGTCCCTCCGCCCTCCCGTCCGCAACACAGGCATTCAAATGTAAAATAACTCTATCAACAGTTTTTTTTGTTGCTAATTAGACTTGATTTTTTTGCAGTTCTCGTCGCCGTCGCCGTTTAGCATTGCACGATTTGCCTAATGTTTTGTTTGAGTAAATTATAAGTATATGAACGAGAGCTTCGCTTTTAGCCCTGGGTAAATCTACATACTCTATTTTTGAAAGATTACATTCTGCACTTACGAGGTATAAATACTTGCAAGTTTCACTTAAGAAAAAACTTTCCATTCTATCTTCTTGAGATTTATCTCTGACGTCATGTAATGTAGCATACCCACATCTGACATAAAAAAGATAAAAAATAATGAAATGAGGTTCTTGTCACTTTTTCGGTTTAAATCCTTATATATTCAATAAAAGAGAAAAAGTCCAAAATGTGTTTGCACCAGGGATCTATCAGATTGTACATTACTGGTCTAACCTTAACACATGCCATTTAAAACCTTAGATCAAAATTCAAATTCTCATTTTTCCCATTATTCTTTCGCTACAAAAGTAGTGGGAGAGGTTTTTAAAGTATCAAGCAAAATCTCCTTGTGCGATCATGACACGTCCTTAATTTTTTATAAAGCATTGCACGTTAGAGGGAGAAATTTGATACTGATCACTCTTAGGGCTTCAGATCGATAACCTGAGTTTAATACCATCAACTGATACAGCTCACTTTGACTCTGAAGATGACTACCACTCTGGTTGTCAGTCACTGTCAACAACAGTCCTATTCTGGACTACGTTCACCCAGACGATCATACGCAACCCACTTAGTGTTAAGTTAGTATGGAATCCTTGAGCGGACACAAATATCCATTTAGGCTTGATTACCAGCCGTTTCGAAGCCGTTGTTCGGGAAATGAGCCCACGATCCTCCCCTCTCTTCTCGGGGAAGACCGCAAGAGCGGCGGAAATCGAGCCTAATATCCACTCAGTTACATAAAGAGAAACGTAAACAACAGTTTCAGTATTCTTTGATGATCTAGTCTAGCTGTGTGTCACTGATGAAAAGTAACCACCTACATACAGTGTATTTCCCAGGGCAATGTACAAGGATAACATTTAAGAAGCCTATATAGGAACGGCGCTACCTGGCTTTTGAGTGTTTCTCTATATCCCTCATAATTTCGCGACCAACGTGGAGATAAAACGGATGATGAGTCGCCTGTAATAAGTAAACAGATAACAAACGTGACGCAATAAAATCTCAAGGATGAGAGGACAACGGTGCAAATTTCGCCTTCTTTCCATTATAATAAATCTAGGGCCGGCGTCGCAGGACAGACTCTAAAGCGCTGTATGGAGCGTATGCCGTTGGTATAGTCGATGCGTAGGCTAGCTTCAACGCAGGCTAAATATATCCAAAGTAAGAATGAATGTAAAATCCTAACGCAGCCAGTCTAGTCTAATTTGCGCCGTGCTAAATGACGTGAATGGCTATGACTACACTCCGCTTTCCTGTTAGACGAACTCAAAATCTGTATTTATTAATCGTTTTTCAGCAAGGGGATGCCGAATGACCAATGGTCAAGTTTGATGTGGAAGGAGTGGCTTTAAGAGACTCAGCGGCAAAAATAAACTGCTAAGGTCTGCTATAACGACCGTCATAGCATTGCGCATGCACAGTTATTGGCAATACGAACCTGATGAAGGAGATAAGTGGATTCTACAAGTTCTGGCCTGACAGGGGAGAAGTGCACCTCAGACTGTTTGGTGTGCCAGTTAAACCTTTCCGGCATTGCTTCGTATTTCTTCCAGATGGCATAGTAAAGAGCATGAGTGCAAATAGCTTCTGTGATATCTCCTTTCAGCACCTAAAACAAGGCGTATTTATCATTTACGATCTATTTTCTGATCTGTTTTATGAAAACCGCCTTGCACATCTGCGTCTTGATAACATCGCATTACAAAAGGCAGCCTATCTTAAACGTTATCGCGGGACTGTTTCTAGTTTCTGGAGACTTTCCTTTGAAACTATTGTAAACGACCTACGTGTCTACTTCCTAATTCAAACCTCGACTGAATCGACTTGTCTTAATACGAATTGTATCAAACCGGATTTTTAACGAAACGACCGGTAACCCTAGCTTGCGTAACAGGCGCTTGAAAGAAAGAACAGGGCGCGCGACGGCGACGGAGACACGTGTCTCTCTCGCGCGCCCCGTTAGTTGGGCTCATTAATTCCAAGCGTCTAGGTCGTTTTCACATGGGAAACAAGGATCCTTATTATATAGGGCCAGTGCTTGTGTTTGTAGAGCTAGTAAAAACCGTTTAGCCTCTTTACTGACCTGAACTCCAGCAAATGATGCAGACAACGCATCTATCCAAGTGTTCGCTGTTTCACCGCTGTTCATGTGCACATTTACGTACAAAGGTGTTGTGCCGTTGCCTTGATTGCATGTACGACGACTAATAAAAAGGAAAAGACAACGTTTCAATACACTGTGACTTTTTCACGAGTCCAGGAAACAGAGCTGGCTATACTAATTTGACGACTTAAAAATTCTTACGAATGAAGTTTTTCATCACTTTACCCTTTTCGTAGATATCTATTGAGAACTCTATAAATATCATTAAATCTCTTTAAATCATCTGGTTCTCCAAACATGATGTAGCCCTGAAATTAAACACAGTTCTCAAGTTGAGTTATTTTCAGCGATCAGAAAGCCATATGACGAGCCATGCACGCATTTGACCAACACCCAAATAGCTGCACGGTTACATGTATATTTTGAATAGCCTGCGTAGCAGGCGTTGAAAGGGGTAGGGGATAGGGAGGAAGAAAAAGGGAGAATTTTTCCCCACTTTCCGGCTTTTCTCCCTCCCCCCTCCCCCTACCCTTTTGCGCCTGCCAGACAGGCTAATTTGGAAGGGCGGGGAACAGATAGCTGAGAGCAGAGGGGGTGGGGGTAGGGGGTAGAATAGTCTCCTTAACAATGGCTACTACATTACAAGTCACCTTAAGAAGATACTCATAAAACGAGTCCAATCCTGCTCCTACACCACTCATTTTTCCTGACCATTCTCCAGTCTCAACATTTATTATATTACCTGTAGCAAAAAACAAGAAACCTTTTATATTATACTGCAATACCGTTTTAAGAGGAAACCTGTTGACCTTCCTTCGGTTGCTTCTTTTCACTTTTGCCATACTATCCCAAGTATGATAATGGTTCAAATCTGGGCACACCTTTTTGGGGGAGTAGGGGTAAGTGTCGATCATCTTGGTAGGCTATTATTTTGCCTTTGTTTCAATTTGGTAACTAGATGTAATTAACCTGTTAGTAAATTCAATGTGTCATTTAAAGGTCAGTAGCTCACAACAAAACTCTGCTTTCATCAAGGGATCTAGTACATAAACTTGCTTAAACGTGTCTACTGCAATCAATCATAGCTCCTTACTAACCCTCAAAATAAAACTACCGGTATACTTACCAAAAAGACCAGTTTTCACTGATCTGCGTTTCCACAAAGAAGCTAGAGATTTCCTGGCTAAAGCTTCAAAGGTTGGGTCTCCTAATAACCTGCTTAAGATTCCAAATTCCAATAAAACTGTTCCCGCTCCAGCTGTACAGGTCTCTTTGTGATGCATTGAAGGAAGACCACTAAATAAATTTACCTAAAAACAGAAATGAAAATGGTAATTATGTCAGGAATTACATAATAGAAAGAAACCTATACTCCACATCTTACACGAGGAGTACTGAGAATACAGGTTAGTCAAGAAATTAATTACCAAATTTGAAAAACAAGCAGTACCAGTGAATGTAACAGCAGTAAAGTAGTAAAGACCAAACTCATAGACACAACTGCAGATGAAGTGTGTGGTGAAATTTGGCACAATTTGTAGCTAGAATACTTGGGTGAGGGGTCACTTTCAAAATATGTAAAATCTATGGGGGGTCACTCCTAAAAAGCTGGGATGAATTGGGGAGTCGGTTTGAAAATCTTCTAAGCTTTCTCATAATGGCCACCGCAAATGCACCCCCACCCCTCCCTCACGGGTAATTATCCACCAGCTCCTGAAAAGAAGTGCCTTCATCCTGGACCACAGGTTCAAAGTCCTAAAAATTTTTTCCAGCCACACTTACATTACATACCCCATTTTATGTTCTCAGAGCCCAGTGTGATCCTTTGGGCTAGCGCTTACTATGTTGCTTACTAAAAGGAACACAGCTCTGAAGATGACAATGTACATACCCTAGGATATGGAATTTGTGTGACTGATTGTTCAAATGCTGCCAGCAGCCTGTTTGCCATGTCATGAGCAAGAAGCAATAATTCATCATCATAATTTGTTGGTACCATGTCACCAAAAGGTTGTAAAGGATCCTTGATGATCAGATGGGCTGATAATAATGATCCTAGCACTCTGAAAATTAAATGCACAAAATGTAGCGAGTGGCAGTTGATTGTTGTCAGGGTTATCATTAACAAAAACACTCCTTTAACAGTACATGAAAGTGGTAGCTTGGGCACCAAGGATGACTTATCTTAATGCTCTGGTCTAACTCCTGAATAAATACCCTTTCATGGTGCATCCATTCAAAACAAAAGGTTATCCAAGGGACTGAGTAAGGGACGGTATATTTCCTGGGCTGTAACCGAAGACAATGGATTAAGGGTTCTGTTCGGGGACTACTAGAAAGACGGCAAACATCAGTCTGTGTGTAAGGATCGCCGTGAAAATCCTTCCAGGTTGAGTAATGTGCCCCCTGTTGAGTATTAGCTGTTGAAATGCCTCCAGCTCAGGATGATTTCTGGCCCGAGTAAGTAAGTTTAAAGGAGTAAGCTACATGATAATTTTCACCTACCCTGCATAGCAGTCGTTGAAAGGGGTAAAGGATTGGGAGAAAGGGAAAAACGAAGGGAGGGGGTTGAGGAGAGAATGTAATAAGGACTTAACTTTATCCTTTTGCACCTTTCTCCTTCTCCCCCTCATTAACTCTTTATGCATCTGCCATGCAGGCTACTTCTCACCTTATTGTCGCTTCAAAAACTTGAACTGTATTATTCCTTTGAAATGATACAGAATCTATAACAAGCTGTACAGCTCTCTTAAATTCACTACTGTTGCCCATTATCTATAAAAACAACAATAATATGGTAAAATTGCACACTGCTCATCCAATCTCATCATTAAGTTCCAGAAGTACATTAAAGTGTACTATGCTAAGGGGGTTTCATACTTACTGCTAAAGTGCCAAGTGATTCTAACAATCCTAATGAATAGTCTCCTAAAACATCATTTATATTAATATTTGACCTAAGGGAAAAAGAAATTCAGTTATGCTCCATACCAATACATATTTAGATCAGTTGAAATTTAGGACCTATTTCTGCTCAGTTGCTATGCCTTCAAACAAAACCCCCAAAAAATCCCAGGGAGAATTTCCAAGCCATAAATTTTTTCACTGAGGAACTACACAGCCAGGATACGTGGGAACCATCATGAATCTTCAGATTGTTTTAAATACCCCAAAAATCCCTACATCAAATTAAGCTACCCCAAAAATACTAGCCAAAATATTCCTACACAAAAAAATTGCAAAATCGAAAACTTCAAACTCAAAAAAATCCTTAGATCATCCCTGTGTACAGGTTTTTTGTTTGCTCTTTATTAAAGGTGAAACTAGGTTCTGAGCAATCTCTTTTTTGCAGAATTTGTGAGGTGCAAGAAATGTGGGGAAATAAATTAGCTCGAACAACCCACTGATCTAAGAAAAAAACGGAATGACCATTGGCGGTACTCTAAGACACACCTACCGAGGGTCCCTACAGTGTGCATGAGGATTTGCTTTGTTTTATTGCCCATATAAGGGAATCCAAGATAGTCTTGTATTCTGAATTCTAGGGCATGGATTCTGGATTCTGGATTCCTGGTACTGGATTCCGGATTCTTTGATGGTGGAACTTTCAATTCTTAGGGGGATCAGGATTCCTTGAGGTGTATTCCAGATTCCAAAGCCCAGGATTCCAGATTCCACAAGAAAGATTTCTCAAATTCCAGTTTCCACAAGAAAAAATTTTCCGGATTGCATAATCCGGTTCCAAACGGCATGCATATCATTTAAAAATAAACCCACTAAATGATAACTGACAAAATAGCTTGCCAAACTTATTTTTTAACTAGTGGAAAGGGAATTTTGACATGCTTTATATGTTTACCAGGGTAGCCTGATTTTTTTTGCCAGTTATTAACCAGTAAATAACCTAATAAATTAATTTTCTAATAATAGAGCTCTAGCGGCTGTGCAAACAGTTTGCACAAAGAAGAAAGGACAGCTTTGTCACTGCATTGTAAGAATGCTTAAATGAACAGTTAACTTAAAATAAACAGGCGAAACTAAGAAAAGCTTTTGCGTGTTCATACAACAACATGATTTTATAATCCTTCCGTCTTATAAAATCAGTGAGTGACGATGAATCTCGGTCAATGATTCACAACATCGCCATTCCATGCCCTCGAAATACCTTCAACCAACCACAGGGCAGTCAACAAACTATGTATTAAAAATACTTACGGCGTGTCATAATCCGGCCCTCTTCCAGTACAATGAATGGGATCAAGTTCGTCTTTGGGAAAGGCGAAGTTCATGTAGTTGTCATACCCAAAATAAAACATTTGTTTGGCTTTCTCTCGCAGTTTAAGCCTCTCATTCTCCGAGAAATACCGATATTTGCCGCTAGAAACTCTTCTATAGCTACTCTGGGCTCCTGTGTAAGCTTCTACACTTGTGAAAATTACAATACAAGCTGAAAAACTGACTAAAACCTGACACATTCTGGAATCATACCGCCGGAGGAAAATGAACGATCACCAACGATGTTTATGAATATGTCAATTGTTTCTTAACCAATCAAAGATCAGTACGCCAGAAGAAGTGATTGGAGCAATCGTTCCCGCGGTTACGCGCGAAATGTAAATTTCAATTAAAAACTTTCATTCCTTGCCCTTTTCAAACAAAATTTTTACAACATTCTTTATGCTTTTCTGGTTATTAATTAAATTAACTGATTTCGTGTTAGTATATCTATAAAATGTGGCTCTTCATCTATCATGCTAGATGGAATTGAAATTTCGAAATGCTGGTTTCTNGTGTCATAATCCGGCCCTCTTCCAGTACAATGAATGGGATCAAGTTCGTCTTTGGGAAAGGCGAAGTTCATGTAGTTGTCATACCCAAAATAAAACATTTGTTTGGCTTTCTCTCGCAGTTTAAGCCTCTCATTCTCCGAGAAATACCGATATTTGCCGCTAGAAACTCTTCTATAGCTACTCTGGGCTCCTGTGTAAGCTTCTACACTTGTGAAAATTACAATACAAGCTGAAAAACTGACTAAAACCTGACACATTCTGGAATCATACCGCCGGAGGAAAATGAACGATCACCAACGATGTTTATGAATATGTCAATTGTTTCTTAACCAATCAAAGATCAGTACGCCAGAAGAAGTGATTGGAGCAATCGTTCCCGCGGTTACGCGCGAAATGTAAATTTCAATTAAAAACTTTCATTCCTTGCCCTTTTCAAACAAAATTTTTACAACATTCTTTATGCTTTTCTGGTTATTAATTAAATTAACTGATTTCGTGTTAGTATATCTATAAAATGTGGCTCTTCATCTATCATGCTAGATGGAATTGAAATTTCGAAATGCTGGTTTCTGAGGGTAGGGGAAATAAAGCCGGAGTATGACCCAGAGTACTCGGAGAAAAACCCCTCGAAGCAAGGTCAGCAAGAACCAACAAATAACAATTAACTTAACTCACATATGCCCTTAAAAGAAGGCCACGATTCTAAGTAGGAGGGCGTAGAATGGCTTCTGCTTATTAGCAATTGAGAATTTGAATACTTGAGCCGTTTGTGAAATGTTTCTCTCAAAGGAAGGGATACTAGCCTATGTACAGCCGACCCCTCCCCTCAAGGGGGTGGCTGTCCTCATGCTAGAAGGGGTGCATGAAATAGCCCACCAGTGACATTTGTTTGATCAACTTTCAGATTACGGCTCACTCTAAATTGTCTTGCATTTGCTTGAAAAACAAAAGGAGAATTTAGCTTATGATCTCACTTAGGGCCCTATACGATAAACCCCTTCATAATGTGACTTTTGTAGTATACACATTACAGGTGAAAATTATATTCAGGTTAAATTTTTTTAATCTAGGTTGATTCTTTATTTCCTTTGTCTCCTAGCCCTTGTTGTTCATAAATAAACCTAGGTTTAAAATGTTAACCTTAATTCAATTTTGACCCGTAGCATACATGTTGTTTATCAGGGGAAAGTTTTGTCTGGCAGTAGAAATTAAGTAAGCAACCATGGATGTAAGCCCTGCAGGAACACATTATACCAACAGTGACCTAAATAAGCCTAACAGGAGGTGGGGTGGGTGGGGGATAACTGGTTGCTGGTTGAAGTACTTTATAAAACTCCAAATAAAAAACATGTATGTTTATGTATTTATCTTTAGTACTGTTACCAGCTCTGGGAAACTGTGAGTAGTTTTAGTTTTCAGTGAAGCATTTAACTTCTAGATCAGAGGTAGAGCCATCAATAACTGGAAAAAAGTAGAGAGATTCTGTCACCTGGATAATAGGGCAACTATGGGTGCAAAGAAAGTTGTGTCCAATAGCCCAGGGCTAGTGGATTTTGCTATGGGGCTAGTGATTTTTGTTCTTAATTTACCCAACGGGCAAGTGCTGTTTCTTGAGGAAATTCAAACTTGAGAAGGATTGTAATCAATCCTGCTAATCAAAAACGGTCTTGGGGCTAGTTGAAAATTATGACTTGTGGGCTAGTACATGCTAGCTACAGCTTGCCTGCATGGCAGGCTGTAAAACTGACTTTCTTTGCACCCTGCTTAAGGATCCAATAGACAAGAGAATTATGTGTGATCAATCAAGTCTTAACTAAATTGTCAAACAATTTATTTTCCATGGGTGCACTGCATAACAAATGGTATAAGTGTCATAAAATGCTTCTTACATTGTCCCATAAAATACTGCCTACTATTATCTTGTTGAAATCTACCCCACCTAGTGTTCTTCTAGATCACATTTTGCTTATAAGCCCTCACTGTGTTCTTTTTGTATTTTCTTCACTAATCCTTTCAATGTTATCATAAGAACTATTCATCAATTAATTCATTTCATCAAGTTATATCAAGAACACAAGGAACTGTTGCTTAAAAAAATGTAATAAGCTTGGGTGGTATAAATAATAAAAAATTGTATTATTTACCCCCAAGGTAAGACCCTTGCATGTGTTTCCAATGTATAAGATAAAAGTTAACATAGATAAATGCCAATAATTAAAAGTTAATGGAGCTCACTTCACAGTGAGGGTTTAAAAATAAGAAATGGGAACAATTCTGAGTATAATTAACTTTTCTTGAATTCCTACCCAAGCACTAAGACTGATGAAGGTTTATTTGACATTAATTTAGATTGTTCAAATGCTGCCAGCAGCCTGTTTGCCATGTCATGAGCAAGAAGCAATAATTCATCATCATAATTTGTTGGTACCATGTCACCAAAAGGTTGTAAAGGATCCTTGATGATCAGATGGGCTGATAACAATGATCCTAGCACTCTGAAAATTAAATGCACAAAATGTAGCGAGTGGCAGTTGATCGTTGTCAGGGTTATCATCAACAAAAGCACTCCTTTAACAGTACATGTAAGTGGTAGCTTGGGCACCAAGGGTGACTAATCTTAATGCTCTGGTCACCTACCTCCTGAATAACTACCCTTTCATGGTTCACCCATTCAAAACAAAAGGTGATCTAAGGGACGGTATATTACCAGAGTTGTACCTGAAAACAATGGATAAGGGTTCTGTTCGGGGACTACTGGAAAGAAGGCAAACATCTGTGTGTAAGGATCTCAGTGAAAATCCTTCCAGGTTAAGTAAAATTATATGCATCCCTGTTGAGAATTAGCTATTGAAAAGCCTTCAGCTTGGGATGATTCCCAGCCTAAGTAAGTAAGTAAGAAATAAGCTACATAATAATTTTCACCTAGCCTGCACAGCAGCCATTGAAAGGGGTAAGGGATCGGCAAGATCGGCAAGAAGGGAAAAACGAAGGGAGGGGGTTGAGGAGAGAAAGTAAAAAGGACTTAACTTAATCCTTTTGCACTTTTCTCCTTCTCCCCCTCATTAACTCTTTATGCGTCTGCCATGCAGACTAATTCTCACCTTATTGTCGCTTCAAAAACTTGAACTGTATTATTCCTTTGAAATGATACAGAATCTATAACAAGCTGTACGGCTCTCTTAAATTCACTACTATTTCCCATTATCTATAAAAACAACAATAATATAGTAAAATTACACACTACTCATCCAATCTCATCATTAAGTTCCAAAAGTACATTAACGTGTACACTAAAGGGGTTTCATACTTACTGCTAAAGTGCCAAGTGATTCTAACAATCCTAATGAATAGTCTCCTAAAACATCATTTATATTAATATTTGACCTAGGGGAAAAAGAAATTCAGTTATGCTCCATACCAATACATATTTAGATCACTTGAAATTTAGGACCTATTTCTGCTCAGTTGCTATGCCTTCAAACAAAACCCAAAAAAATCCCAGGCTGAATTTCCGAGCCATAAATTTTTCCAGAGAAACTACACAGCCAGGATATGTGGGAACCATCATGAATCTTCAGATTGTTTTGAATACCCCAAAAATCCCTACCTCAAATTAAGCTACCCCCAAAAAACTAGCCAAAATATTCCTACACAAAAAATTGCAAGATCGAAAATTTCAAACTCAAAAAAATCCTTCGATCATCCCTGTGTACAGGTTTTTTGTTTGCTCTTTATTAAAGGTGAAACTAGGTTCTGAACAATCTCTTTTTTGCAGAATTTGTGAGGTGCAAGAAATATGGGGAGGGGAAATAAATTAGCTCGAACATTACCCACTGATCTAAGAAAAAAATGGACTGACCATTGGCGGTACTCTAGGACACACCTATCTGTGGGTCCCTACAGTGTGCATGAGGATTTGCTTTGTTTTATCGCCCATATAAGGGAATCCAAGATAGTCTTGTATTCTGAATTCCATGGCATGGATTCTGGATTCTGGATTCCTAGTATTGGATTCCGGATTCTTTGATGTGGAAATTTCAATCCTTAGGGGGATCAGGATTCCTTGAGGTGTATTCCAGATTCCAAAGCCCAGGATTCCAGATTCCACAAGAAAGATTTCTCAAATTCCAGTTTCCACAAGAAAAAATTTTCCGGATTCCATAATCCGGTTCCAGACGGCATGCATATCATTTAAAAATAAACCCACTAAATGATGACTGACAAAATAGCTTGCCAAACTTATTTTTTAACTAGTGGAAAGAGAATTTTGACATAGTTTATATGTTTACCAGGGTAGCCTGATCTTTTTTCCCAGTTTATATTAACCAGTAAATAACCTAATAAATTAATTTGCTAATAATAGAGCTCCAGCGGCTGTGCAAACAGTTTGCACAAAGAAGAAAGGACAGCTTTGTCATTGCATTATAAGAATGCTTAAATGAACAGTTAACTTAAAATAAACAGGCGGAACTACGAAAAGCATTTGCGTGTTCATACAACAACATGCAGTGAGTGACGATGAATCTCGGTCAATGATTCACAACATCGCCATTCCATACCCTCGAAATACCTTCAACCAACCACAGGGCAGTCAACAAAATAATATAAAAATACTTACGGTGTGTCATAATCCGGCCCTCTTCCAGTACAATGAATGGGATCAAGTTCGTCTTTGGGAAAGGCGAAGTTCATGTAGTTGTCATACCCAAAATAAAACATTTGTTTGGCTTTCTCTCGCAGTTTAAGCCTCTCATTCTCCGAGAAATACCGATATTTGCCGCTAGAAACTCTTCTACAGCTACTCTGGGCTCCTGTGTAAGCTTCTACACTTGTGAAAATTACAATACAAGCTGAAAAACTGACTAAAACCTGACACATTCTGGAATCATACCGCCGGAGGAAAATGAACGATCACAAACGATGTTTATGAATATGTCAATTGTTTCTTAACCAATCAAAGATCAGTACGCCAGAAGAAGTGATTGGAGCAATCGTTCCCGCGGTTACGCGCGAAATGTAAATTTCAATTAAAAACTTGCATTCCTTGCTCTTTTCAAACAAAATTTTTACAATATTCTTTATGCTTTTCTGGTTATTAATTAAATTAACTGATTTCGTGTTAGTGTATCTATAAAATGTGGCTCTTCATCTACCATGCTAGATGGAATTGAAATTTCGAAATGCTGGTTTCTGAGGGTAGGGGAAATAAAGCCGGAGTATGACCCAGAGTACTCGGAGAAAAACCCCTCGAGGCAAGGTCAGCAAGAACCAACAAATAACAATTAACTTAACTCACATATGCCCTTAAAAGAAGGCCACGATTCTAGGTAGGAGGGCGTAGAATGGCTTCTGCTTATTAGCAATTGAGAATTTGAATACTTGAGCCGTTTGTGAAATGTTTCTCTCAAAGGAAGGGATACTAGCCTATGTACAGCCGACCCCTCCCCTCAAGGGGGTGGCTGTCCTTAGGCTAGAAGGGGTACATAAAATAGCCCGCCAGTGACATTTGTTTGATCAACTGTCAGATTCCGGCTCACTCCAAATTGTCTTGCTTTTACTTGAAAAACAGAAGGAGAATTTAGCTTATGTGAATCTCACTTGGGGCCCTACACCGCACACCCCTTCATAATGTGACTCTTATAGTATACATATTAAAGGTCAAAATTATATTCAGGTAAACTTTTTTTAATCTAGGTTGATTCTTTATTTCCTTTGTCTCCTAGCCCTTATTGTTCATAAATAAACCTAGGTTTAAAATGGTAACCTCAACTTAATTTTGACCTGTAGCATACATGTGGTTTATCAGGAGGGAAGTTTTGCATGGCAGTAGAAATTAAGCAAGTAACCATGGATGTAAGCCCTGCAGGAACACATTATACCAACAGCAACCTAATAAGCCTAACAGGAGGTGGGGTGGGTGGGGGATAACTGGTTGCTGGTTGAAGTACTGTATAAAACTCTAAATAAAAAACGTGTATGTTTATGTATATATGTTTAGTACTGTTACCAGCTCTTGGAAACTGTGAGTAGTTTTAGTTTTCAGTGAAGCATTTAACTTCTAGATCAGAGGTAGAGCCATCAATAACTGGAAAAAAGTAAAGAGATTTTGTCATCTGGATAACAGGGCAGCTATGATGTAGCTTAACAGGGTGCAAAGAAAGTCATGTCCAATAGCCCGGGGCTAGTGGATTTTGCTATAGGGCTAGTGATTTTTGTTCTTAACTTGACCAACAGGCAAGTGCTGTTTTTTGAGGAAATTCAAACTACAGAAGGATTGTAATCAATCCTGCTAATCAAAAAGGGTCTTGGGGCTAGTTGAAATGACTTGTGGGCTAGTACATGCTAGCTACAGCTTGCCTGCATAGCAGGCTGTAAAACTGACTTTCTTTGCACCCTGCTTAAGGATCCAATGGACAAAAGAATTATGTGTGATCAATCAAGTCATACCTAAATTGTCAAACAATTTATTTTCCATGGGTGCACTGCATAACAAATGGTCTAAGTGTCATAAAATGCTTCTTACATTGTCCCATAAAATACTGCCTACTATTATCTTGTTGAAATCTACCCCACCTAGTGTTCTTCTAGATCACATTTTGCTTATAAGCCCTCACTGTGTTCTTTTTGTCTTTTCTTCACTAATCCTTTCAATGTTATCATAAGAACTATTCATCAACTTATTCATTTCATCAAGTTATATCAAGAAAACAAGGAACTGTTGCTTAAAAAAATGTAATAAGCTTGAGTGGTATAAATAATAAAAAATTGTATTATTTACCCCCAAGGTAAGACCCTTGCATGTGTTTCCAATGTTTAACATAAAAGTAACATAGATAAATGCCAATAATTAAAAGTTAATGGAGCTCACTTGACAGTGAGGGTTTAAAAATAAGAAATGGGAACAATTCTGAGTATAATTAACTTTTCTTGAATTCCTACCCAAGCACTAAGACTGATGAAGGTTTATTTGACATTAATTTATAAAAAAAGATGCATAATACTGTACACATAAAATTACTTGTTAAATAATAATGATAAAAAACAACAGTGCCAAACACTGCAAGAGAACATTTCACTTGTAATGTTTTACACTTGGCCCTTCATTTACATTACTGGTAAATAATAACATTTAAAAATTGTTAATACTTTACTAAGTATTTCATTAAAACCTGACTTCCTTAACAAACCATCAAACCTATATCCCTCAAATTACTGTTCAATGTAAGTTCAATTCTCCTCAAACTTTTTCTCATAACCTACTTAAAATGGCGGTAATGGTGTTGAGAGGAGAACAAGGTTGAAAAAATGAGAGGGAACTGATGAGTTGAGGAAGCGACAGGAAAAATTCCTTCTCTCTCCCTTTTTTATTCATTTTTTTCAGTCTGCTCTTCACTTCACGCAACTCCTTATCTTACTCTTTTCCAGTTCTGAGCCTGTGAAGAAGTTCAGGGTGTCTGGCAATTTTGTTTAAAGTAAATACTTAGATTTCCTTGTACACCCAAAAGTGAAGTTAAATCATAACAGGCCACAACTGCTGCATGAGCAATAAAACTAGCTCAATGATTATTTTACGTTACTTTGTTACTGTCAAACTTAGAAAACCGTGAACACCTGAAAAATTTCAGGAATGTTGATTGTGTACTGGCCAATCACAATAAAGTTCAGGATACGCAAGCAAACCTCAAAACCAGAAATTAATTACCGTTGCTGTTTGTGGTTTAGTTATCTCGCACCTTATTGGCTTAGTTCTCGCAACACAATAACATTCCATAAATATTTTTGGTGTTCACGGTTTTGTGAGTTCCACAGTAAAACCATGAATGTATATGATTTTAATTAAAAGCAGAAAAAATTATTTGCAAACTCATGGCACTCTCTGGCTCAACCATAACAGTATGTCATTTATGACAAGTGCAGCATCTTCCTTTGGCTCATTTAAAAGCTTGTGATAAAAACCAGGGTAAATCTGTGAGGTAATAAAAACACAAAATTTAATATTTTTTATAGTTTTTAGTGCAGTGGCAGATTCAGGGGAGGGACCCAGCCCCCCCCCTCCTTCAACTTATCAATTTTTTTGGGGAGACCGGGCCCCCCACTTATCTCAGGGTCTGGATGAAAATTGAACGGTTGTCGGCGGAGGCTACTTTTCACACAACAGCTCACACAGCGAAAATGTAACCTCTGCTTGCAGAGTACTGTGATCAAAGGGCCCAGTCAAAAATTACTCTGGTTCCATGTGAATGTATCCTTTGAGTCTGTGGGTCAGTTATTACCGGTGTCATCAGAATACATAAAAACCACTTTATTTAAGACAAATTAGTAATCATTTTACCATTACCTTTATAGTCTTATCTTTGCTTGCTGCCTTTTGTTCCAGCATCGTTGATCCTTCAACCATTGCAAGCTGGTCAGCATCACCATGACACACTAAAAATGGCCATTCAATTCTTGGTAAATTGTGTTTCACTTTTTCCATCGCATCATGCATGGACATTGCCCACTTGGCTTTCAAGCCACCTTTCCATCCTAAAGGATCCATACTTAAAGTTGCAACCTTTCAAAAACAAAAATGCAAAGAGGAAGTCACATAAGAACTTCTGGACAGAGATATACATGTTATGAATATATTTCATTTCCCACTGGACTTACATGTATGGTGTACTCTTTTAGCCTATGTGTTACCACACCCTTTACCCAAAAAGGAAAAACAGCACATTTTTTCCTTTCTCCAGGGATTGTGTGACTTCATGTAGAGTAGGTCTTAGTTTGAGCAAAATGAGATGTGTTCCCCAAAAAAGTTCCTAGTCGTAACCATTTAATGCAAGATTCATCTTCCAAATTGCCTTGTAATTTTTTACAATCTATAATCTACAGTCCAGTCTGAATACAATAACATTATTATTATTATTATTTAAATATTCATACGGTAACTCTGTTTTTATGATGAAAGGGGAAAAAATTGTTCTGAGCACTTTCATTCTAGAATATGATCACTCAAATGTAGACTTAAGAATTCAAGTCACAAACTTTGAACATATTTTCTTCTTTTTTCACTTAAACTAACCAACAGAATGACGAACATGATGGTCTCACCTGGTCAGGATCCCGACTAAGAGCAGAGTGATTCTCAGATCCAACTACTTGATATGAGGGTGCGATATGTGATACTATCTTCCCTAAAAATATCTGATAAATACAAGATAAGTTAATAATACCTTGTCTTCACCCACATTTACATTTCTCTTTGTCTCCACGCTGAAAAACTTAATGGGTACTGATGCACCTGTTCAGAGCTCTACCATAGCACAGGTCACAATTTTTTAAAATAATCATGACCAATCATGTCCAGCACTGCTGCACTGTTACAGACCATTAAGAGCAGTTGACAGATCATACACTCTGTACAAACCGACAGGATTTTCCAGAAAAATCAAAGGTGAAGGGAGAAAGATTCAAGCAGATGATAACAGATCACATCAAAAGGAACAGAACATCTTTCATGCAGTGCAGCCATGCGTGGTGGTAGGCTAGGTATGAGAGCAGGGTCACATCCCTTCCATTGGGGGAGTCCTCCATCAAAATTGTAATTTTGAGGTCCCAAAAAGTGCATGTTCAGTAAGTATATTAACCCACAGCTTTGTTTCACATGTTTCTTATTGTCAATCAAGAGTTTTGAGGAATAAATACCATTGATTCATTATCCCACTAAAAAAATTATCATTTTCTGTGAGTAACTGGTGTAGGTGTGATTTTCTTTTGGGGACATTCCAGAGAACCTTTATTAGTTTAAGGGAGACTTACCATGCAGGGCGTGGCAGTTTCTGGATTTGCTAAAATTGCAGGAGCACATAGTACAGTTCCTGCGAAGAAATGTGGTCTTTCCATAGCGCACAGGATTGCAATGGTGCCTCCCTAAAGAAAACAGGGTTTTATAAAATAATATAAGATAAACTAAGCTGTCATTAAACGGCAGTAAATACGTAATACCACTCACAGATGTCATGAACTTGCTTGATGTTCTGAGTGTAAGTTGGGGAATACATACTGGCACTGCAAATATAATGTTATGGGTGACCATTTACAGCTGTAAACGTAACTGCTTTTAAAAAATAACAAAACCCAGCCCTGATCATGTACCAATCAATCCTTACACTTTTATAGACTGAAGTAGAGGGAAAAGGTAACTGTTACTTAATTTACAGGTGTAACATTTTTACAAATAATCAACTACGAATAATGCACTTGCCATGGAGTGACCAAACAAAAAGATGGGTAATCCAGCATTGTTCAGTAACACCTCATCAATGTGCTTTAACACATCAGCGACATAAATACTGAAGGAAGAAATCTGTACACGTTCACCTTCACTTCTGCCATGACCCACTAAAAAGGCAAACAAAGGTGTGAAACACTTACATAAACTTTTATGGACTTCAAGGCTATCATTTTTGAACCTGGTAGTTTTAAAAGGGGAGAAGAAAACTGTAGGAAAATGGAAAGAGTATAAAAATGGAAAGAAAGAAAGAAATAGGGTGGTAAGAAAATGGAACTGAAAATGTGATGATGGGCAGAAAGGGATGAAACAAGAAGAGGGACAGAAGGATGACAGGAATGGAGTAAAACAGAAGGATGATGAGGAAATGGAAGGAGAATGAGAGGAAAGATGAAGTCAGTGAAAGTAAGGAAAAAAAAGACAATGGAAGAAAGAATAGCAAACCACAAACCAAGAAGTATTCTGACAAAGGAAAAGAAATATACAAGTTTACATTTAAGGGTAGTAGTAGGAAAGAACAGAAAAAAAATTAAAACAGGTGAGTAAAATATGAAGAGAAAATAAGAAGAAACCTGGTGAAGGGAGACGGAGAAGTAGACAAATGAAAACAAAAGAAGGAAAGAAAGGAAATAAAGAAACTGAAATAGTTGCGGCCTGGAATGAAACAGAAACAAGGCAGTCATATCAATATTTACTAAAAAGCTGACAAAATTTACCATGATCATGTGCAACAACAAGAAATCCTTGCTTAGCTAACACTTGCGCAAATTCCTCATATCTTGAACAGTGCTCTCCAACTCCATGATTCACAAATATCAATGCACTAGATTACATCAAAACCAACATGTTAGTGTGAAAATAAGAAAGAGGAATAAATAACTTAAATGTTAAGCACATTATATATACCTACATAGAAAGAGAGGATAAACCTTTTTTTTTTCATTTTTTTTTACAAGCTTTTGCCACGCTTCAATTTGTCAGGAGATATATATGTGACAAACAGGCTTAAATGTCAAAGTTTATTTCCTTTTTTATGGCATCATAGAAACTGAGGATCAAAGCCGCGACCGCGATTTTGAGAACAGACCTTTGGAGCCAACGAGTTCAACGCCTGCTAATTTCTTACCACCAGAAACTGCACTCGACAGCCCTTAGGAAGAGAATGAGGGTGCGGATCGTGGAAGGAGCACAGTACGCGATCTACAAGCACACTCGGCAGTTTACCTACCGAGGTTGCGTATCTCTTAATTTCCAACATTTGTAGAACAATTTGAGGCCCTTGGAACTTTCCACTGAACCTTCTTCAGATAAAACTTCGACTTCCATTCAGAGAATCAGTCACACACGCAAATGTCATCCGTCCGCCATTTTCTGCCCATAGATAAATGGTAAACGGAGGACTGGACCCAATGTAACGGTAACGCAATATGTCGCTCCATGTCACGCTACTCCGTCTACTACTTTACTCTTTGCAAGGTATAGCGGTTAAATAAAATTAAATGTAAAGCCACTTGTCGCTGTTTTCTGCCTTTTTTGTGAAGTTCAATTGACAGTTAACATCATCCTGACCTGATTTTTTTCTCAATAATATGCATGGCAAGGACAAGATTTTGGGTAACCATAGATTCTCTAGCTGGGGAGGTGTGGGGGGGGGGGGGGGGGGGTGTACTCCTTTAATGGCCCATANTGAGGCCCTTGGAACTTTCCACTGAACCTTCTTCAGATAAAACTTCGACTTCCATTCAGAGAATCAGTCACACACGCAAATGTCATCCGTCCGCCATTTTCTGCCCATAGATAAATGGTAAACGGAGGACTGGACCCAATGTAACGGTAACGCAATATGTCGCTCCATGTCACGCTACTCCGTCTATTACTTTACTCTTTGCAAGGTATAGCGGGTAAATAAAATTAAATATAAAGCCACTTGTTGCTGTTGTCTGCTTTTTTTGTGAAGTTCCATTGACAGTTATCATCATCCTGCCCTGATTTTTTTCTCAATAATATGCATGGCAAGGACAAGATTTTGGGTAACCATAGATTCTCTAGCTGGGGAGGTGTGGGGGGGGGAGGGGGGTGTACTCCTTTAATGGCCCATATGGGGAGGCTCTGCTTGAAAAGGGTACCTTTTTCAGGCTTGAGGTATATAAAAGAGTGAGGATTTCACTAGTTGAAGTATATGATTGGGTAGGGAAATCAGTCATTGCGATCTGTGAAAGGATCTAAGAGGGCTAACAGGGACATAAGGAAGATGAGAAAACTTTAGTTTAGGTTTATTGATTTATTCATATTTAAAAGAATGTGTATTTACAGCAGGTAAAAGGGAAGAAACATTCTAAACTAATACGTGAAAGGGGTACCATACATAAAGGGGTATAAGAAAGGGGTACCTTTTCTGTCCCCGTATAAAATATTATTGAGCCCCCCCCCTCAGGATAAACTCTTTAAAAAGGCCTATTTTACTTCAAAATTACATAGCACCATCCAGTTCTGACTTTTGGCAGTCACCATAAGGGATAGCTCTCACAGGGGGTGGGGTGGGGGGTCATGGGCACCCCCAGATCCCCTAGCTATACCCCTACCCCTTCAGAGAAAGCTGTTTCCAATATTTCTTTATAATAATAATTATTTATTATATACTTTATATTTACAAACACAGAATTAAATAAGTAGCTTTTCATGAAAGTTTCTCAACTGCATTTTCTAGCCACACACAAGCCTCTGCAAAGTTTTCATCCTGAACTGATTGGCAGAATTCCAGCAAGGCTTGGTATCGTTTCTTTATGTCAAATCCAAGACAGGACTTCAACTTGTTAAGGCAAACAGGACATGTGAACATTGGCCGTCTGTTAGATTCCTCTAGATGGTTACTGCCATTCATAGCACAAGAGAAGTAAACACAGTGTTTCAGGCAAAATAAATGGCTTATTTCATGCGTCATCACCTTTAGAACAAAAAATAGAACAGTCTGAGTTTAATTTAACCCTTTAAGTTTCACAAGCGACCAACATCAATTTTCTCCCAACAATATCCATACATCATCATGAGAAATCCTTGTGAGAATAAATAAAATGAACACCAATGGAAAATGATGTTTCAATCTTTTATTAAATTCTCTCAACTTTTTTTTTTAATGAAATGTATGGGAATCAGTCTGGAGAATTTGCACGTGGATCTGCTACTGAACATCCTCCAGAGGATGTGCGGGATGAGAAAGCAATGATTTTGATGACTGAATCACTGATGATGACAGGATTTCATTTTGAAAAGAGTTACTTGTAAGACTGAGGTTGCAGATCCTTAAAATAAATGGACCATCCCTTTTGGAAATTAAGCAGGTTAAAAAGGACAATTATTATTCCATTACAAAATGGCTATAAATGAACGAAAATTTTCAGATAAGTAACTCAAATGAGATCTATAATGTAAGGGATGATTCTTGAGTCATCTTTGGTCTTTGACCACTGAACAGACCAATGGGTTTGGGTCTCTAAAAGTCCACTTTTTTTGGTCTGTAACAGACAGCAAACGTTGTCCCCTGTAACTTCTGCCCCTCGACCCTAGATTAAGGAAATATAAACAACTTCCAGGAAAATGATGAACTACCTTACAACTACGCCACAGTACTAGAGTACTTGTGCAAGGTGATTTATTAGCAACAGAACGAGGTTCATAGAACAGTGGATCGTATCTTGCAAAGCTGAACACACCGACGCCAGCTCCAGGATTTGCCTGGCCAAAGACAAAGTTCCAGCTTTCATTTGGATACAGATCAATCATGGTGATTCCAACAACACAGAATGCTCCTCGAGGCCATTTTGATTGCAAGTATTTGTACACATCGGGGATAAACAGCTGCAAATGGCCACAATGCCTACGAGTTTTACATTTGAGCTTGTTTATAGAGACTGAGGGCAGAACCACAACTTGATAACCTGAAAATGAAAATATGTTACTGAAGGCTGGTTCACAATAGCAAAAGTCACACGCCGAGTTGTGAGAGCACTTCTGACCTAGTGAAAATAAGACATTGAAGTCGTAAGTACAGCAAAATCGACATTGTGAGAATCAGGAACATTTCCAAATTTTCGGCCGACCCCGCTTATGACTCCGTTGCTTACTGCACTTTGCAAAACGAAACCAAGCCGCTTACAATCTGGTAAAAACAAGATCATTGGAAGCAGAAGTGGAAGGCCATAAACTGGTCACGGTGACTTTTGATTGGTTTATTAGTCCTTCCATTTCTGCTCACTCAACAACCTACAGTACTTCACCCAAGATGGTCAGTGACAGCTAGAGTCATAAGCAGAATCGGAAAGTTGTCTTTACTACATCCTAGTGCTCTGAGTCTACGCTTCTGATTACAACTCTGACTCCGGCTTACTTGTAAAACCAAGCCTGGCCTGGTCCTACTTTTGCAATCATTAAAGAGCTCAAGCCTTGCCTGTGTACAGACGTCTCCCCTCCCTCAGGAAAATATCGGGAGAGGAGACGTCATTTTTCCTGAGGGAGGGGGGACGTCTGTACACAGGCGACTCAAGCCAGCATTCGAATTCAGGAAAACCACAGCAGAGGCATTTTTTCTCTGGAAAAAATGTAAACAAAACTGAAGAGTTCTTGCAAGCCAATTTCGGTCGTCAGATCAACAAAGCTCACCAGTGAAGAAAGCAGCTGCAAAACGTTGAAGCAAGGACAAGAAACTTTCTTTGTTGCTGCTCTTATCAACGTCTACTTCAGACTCCGTCCATTCATCGCCTAGAGGTACAAGACATATTTTGTTGTTTTGACTGGCTGCTGTAACGACTGATTGAAATTTCCGCGACCAAGCTGCGTGTGACTGTTGCGTTTCCGTGTGTGAAGAAAGCCACGCATCTTCGTCCGGAGTAGGCAGCGGAGGGAACAGCTTCTTGTCTTTGATCCCCTCGGTTAGGAAGGCTTTTTCTTTCTTTGACAGCTGCTGTAAGTTGCCAAGGTCGCGAACTGTGGTGGTTATAAATGATGATGATGATGACGATGATGATTGTGATGCGGTCGCCATATTGAAACCACCGAAACCACAGGCAGCCCAAGCTCAAGTTACGATTAGAAAGTCGGTTTCAAGTTACAGGCGACTATGAGAAGTAAAATACTGAGGTCTGCGAAAGCTAAAGATCATGATACTTTACCTTTTCCTCTTTAAAATGAATAAAGGAGACTTTGATGTATTCCTGTGTTTTTTGGTGTGAGTCATCGACTTACTCGTTTCGTTTTTTGGCTGTTATTTGGCTCGTACCAGTTTCCCTTTTTTTACCCCCCTGCCCCACCCAACCCCTCCCGCCTCCTCCCGCCCCATTCAGACCCTGTGAGCGCGGAACGTTCGTTACTCACAGCACGTTAATCCCACGTTGGGACAGAAAATTCTTGACGCGCTTTAAATTTTTCGCTACAATAATGATGCTCACGACGATAGGGATGTAAACAAAGTTCATTGAAGCGAAGCCATGTGACGTTAACAATGTTAAAAAAAGAAGCGATGAGTATAAGCGATGAATAGGCGGTATAGAAGAAGAAAGCGATGTACAAAGCGGTTTCGAAAACTAAAAAATAAATACAGCGAAAACCATAATCAAACTAACTAGTAGCCTCCCCGCAGACATCCTTTGGGGTTCGTTTGTCACGCATTCATTTCTCCCCCACGGACCGTGGGGGAGAAATGAATGCGTGACAAACGAACCCCAAAGGACGTCTGCGAGGAGGCCCCGGGGGGGGGGTACTTTAGGAATTTCTGGGTGGGGATGTACCGCTGGTACCCTGGAACCCTTAACCTATACCAGAGCTAGTTCAGGTGAATTTTGCTACCCTATACTAGAGTAAACTCCCCAAATCCCCACCATTCAGACCCTGTGAGCGCGGAACGTTCGTTACTCACAGGACGATCGTTTAATCCCACGTTAGGACAGAAAATTCTTGACGCGCTTTAAATTTTTCGCTACAATAATGATGCTAACGACGATAGGGATGTAAACAAAATTCATTGAAGCGAGGCCACGTGACGTCAACGATGTTGAAAAAGAAGCGATGCGTATAAGCGATGAATAGGCGGTATAGAAGAAGAAAGCGATGTACAAAGCGGTTTCGAAAACTAAAAAATAAGCAGCGAAAACCATAATCAAACTAACTAGAAACTACCTTAAAACTACGAAAACAAACTTTGGATTTCATTAATACGAGGCAAAAAAGGCTTTATAAAACGTAACATGCACGAAGTGAAAAGACTGTACTTCTGTGTCCGCGTTAGGGCTTTCACAGCGCTGAAGTTGAGCCTTGCTTTGATCTTAACGCGATGACACGTTGACTAGAACTGAAAAAGTTTCATGAGCTCGTTCGACAATGCTAACTAATACAAAGGATAATAGATTTCCTTGTTTGTAAATCATACGTAGGCAAGTATATCTGCGGCAAAAATCACAAATACTGTAAAATTAGTGGCCACGCAAAGACTGACTGCTGCCAACGCTTGGGGCAAAAAATAAAACTTTATTGAAACAAACGAGGGAGAAGGAAAAAATACCCGTGGGAGGGCAGGGTGGGTAAAACAACCGGAGCGAGACCGCAAATGACCTTTGAAATGACAAGCGTGCGATCTTATGCCCCAGAAGAAATAATCGCGCGTGAAAGCGACATCAGCCCCCAGTGACTTATTGACATGCTTCGGAGCGAGACTGCAAATGACCTTTGAAATGTATGCCCCAGAAGAAATTTGACACTGGCAAAAGACAGGCAGGGTGTGTACCTAATTAAGTGCTTTGACAAATGCCAAAACCAGCAGATAAATAACGCAAAAGAAACTGAAAAGGGCTTGAAATGAAATACGAAAAACCAGAAAATAGTTGGCAGTAGCAGACCCCCTTATATGCGTCTAGTTTAATGATATTTGCCGATGGCGTCCTGTTGGAGAGGCTAAATGTTCCGCTGCTTTGCCACGTTACTCGTTTAAGAGGATGACAATTGTAAATTATCTTCGAAGGCGTGTTTTCATCGCCAATCGTAGCAGAATTCAATACATTTCGGATCGCACGTTCTCAACCAGAATAAATCCCCAACAACTCAACTGGCGCCTCGCGAAAGCAAGTGATTTCGATGACGTCGTAAAGTTGTCGGAGGGAATTTACAATGGTTACGACTTCATTCCACTTGTAATTCACCAATGGCTTAAAAGGGGATATGTAGCCATAATGATGCTGTATGCGGACAAAAAACTCATTGGTCTTGAGGCAGGCCATATTGTTGACGGTGGGAAAACGCTTGTTCGTCGCGGAGGACGCATCGCACCTAATCTTCGTGGACAGGGTCTATTACGAAAGATGGTACCTGCATGGCAACAATATGTATCAGCAGTCTTTTCTAAAGTCTCCAGGCAAAGATTTTCGACTTTCGTGGAAGTCAAAGCTAAAGGCGTTATCCCGTTTAAAAAAGTTCTCGAACGTGATGAGCTGTCCTATTTCGTGGAGGAAAAATCCAAAGAAAATTTCGACAGACGTGATATTTATTCCTGGGAGGTGCTCTGTGTAGACAGCGCTGCGACAAAAGAATTAGAAATAGAGTCGTGTACCCAAGAGTATTTCTCCGACGTTATCCTATCTTCTGCCGAAACTCAGAAGTTGTTCCCCAACAACATACTGGTATTTGACTGGTGCCCATACGAGCCTCTCCGATCAAATATCGAGTTAATCCCGGAAAAAAAACATCGCCTTTACTTTTTCGTAGAGAAATGTTCCATCAAAGGCAGCCCGAGATCTTTTAGTTATGGAGTTCACACACAGACAGTAAAAGCCAAAAAATGGGAGGCCACAGTTTACACCGATGATCCAGCTGTCTTTGAAGCTCATCTTCTGTTTCAGTTCAAGCTTGCTCGTGAGATCATCGAATTTTGGATAGGGGCGTGCCGCGAAGGTTCGTGAACCCTAACCCTATTTAAGGACTATGAAAGCGAAAACTGGTACCCTTTTTAAGGCCCAAAGCCAAATTGACACCCTATTCAAGGAAAAAACAAAATTATTAATAGCATGAAAAGGAAAACTTCATTTCTTCTCTGTAACATTGGATGTATAGCATCAAGCATAAAATACTAGAATAAGCCTACTTTAATAATATGCAATCATAACCGGCGGGCTTTTTCACACTCCAGTATTAAGGACCACACCAGGGACACAGAAACAAAAGGGTAAAAAAAAAAACCCTATTTAAGGACCGAGAACCTCAAAAACCATACCCTATTCCGCGGCACGTACCTATATAGCCTATATATGGGGGTACCCTCCCCCCCCCGGGAACAGGCCATCAAGCGCACTCCCATATAGATTCTATATTATACGAATTCATTACTTAAGTCGAAAATTGAATTCGTTTAATCTTTTCTAATTTTAGATTCATATTTCCATTCTTGTATACGAAACAAACAGAAATCCAAATACCACTGTTAAACATCTGCCTCGTACCCAGACTTCTCTCGCGCGCGCGCAAAGGAAGGCGGGAAGGACCCTTCCCACGGTCCCTTGCGGCTCATCACCAGTCGTTCGACTCTAACCTTGCGAAAAACCATGGATTTCTATTATCCATGGAAAAACGAAGCGCCAAAGCACAAACTCAGCCAAAACGCTAAAAATCTTCAATGTTTACTCAAGTTTGGGCTTATAGAAGATAATGTCACAGTTTTTCAATGACCATGAAATTCAGAATCCGGTTAGTTAGTTAATCAATTGTGGCCCTGAAAAAATTTGAAGGAAAAAAAACTACGAATTTTTAAGAAAATGCTTTTTTCGTGAGAAGGAATCTTAAACGCTGACAAACGTCAACAAATGGCTAAAACTATAATTTCTATATGTTTGCTTTGCTCGAAATCGCGCGCATTTACAAGGCCCTAAAGCTTTTTGCTGACTTGCAAGGACCCATCTGTTATAACGATCCCCAAAATAAAGGGATAAGTCACATAGTTTATTAGATATAATCGTGTAAAGTTTGCTTATCATTTTTGCACAAATTATGACCTAAATTTGGAAACCGCTGAATTTCTCGAATTGGGTCTTTGCGATTTTGGTGAAACTCTGTTCAGCGCAAGGCATTAATGCGCACTATGTGTAGCCGAGAGATTTTCACGAAAAAATGCCGGCAACAGCAGACCTCAAAGGGGCGTGGCATTATAACCACGTGACATTTACTCCGATCCCCTAAAATTTTATGTTATATTGTAGATTGATCTATATGTTATCCATTCTATGTGTTAGACTTACGATAAAAGTAAAGGTGGGGATACCAGAGAGCTTCAAAGTAGGATGGTACCCCCCCCCAAAAAAAAAAACTGGGTCGAGTCACCTTAACGATTCAGTGAAACCTGTATTAAGCGGACACTGTCTTAAGCGGACACCCTCCATTAAGCGGAAGGTAGCCGAAGTCCCCAAATTTATTTCCCTTATTTACTTTGAAAGAAACCTTTATTAAGCGGACACCTCTATTAAGCGGACGCGGACACCAAAAAGTACCTGAAATGGTCATTTCTATTGTTGCCAACCTTATTAAACGGACACTTGTAATCAAATTCCGCCACCCAACATGCCAGAGACCGGAAATGCGAAAGACTGCCTCGAATTGCCACCCACAAATTTTTCGATTTTTACATAAAAAACGTGACTTGACGAACTTATTTGATTAGTTTCAAAGTACAGGATTGTTTTCTATTTGTTTTGTTTGTATAAAGCTTGTTTCACTCATCTGATTTCTTCAAATTTGAGTTGCAATTCATGTTTATGGTACTATGATCAATTGGTTCACTTTGATAAAGAAATTAATGCAAACGTCTATCGTCCTAATCTCTGGGAGTATTATAAACGCTTCCACAGTTCATTTGAATGGCATTTGACACCTCATATGACGTTATATATCGAAACCTATATTAGGCGGACACCCTGTATTAAGCGGACACTACAGCATTCCCCGAGGGTGTCCGCTTAGTACAGGTTTCACTGTATTTGCCGATGGCGTCCTGTTGGAGAGGCTAAATGTTAACGTTCCACTGCTTCGCCACGTTACTCGTTTAAGATGACGGCAATTGTAAATTATCTTCAAAGGCGTGTTTCCATCGCCAGTCGTAGCAGAATCCAGTACATTTCGGATCGCACGTTCTCAACCAGAATAAATCCCCAACAACTCAACTGGCGCCTCGCGAAAGCAAGTGATTTCGACGACGTCGTAAAGTTGTCGGAGGGAATTTACAATGGTTACGACTTCATTCCAGTTGTATTTCACCAATGGCTTAAAAGGGAAAATGTAGCCATAATGATGCTGTACGCAGACAATAAACTCATTGGTCTTGAGGCAGGCCATATTGTTGACGGTGGGAAAACGCTTGTTCGTCGCGGAGGACGCATCGCACCTAATCTTCGTGGACAGGGTCTATTACGAAAGATGGTACCTGCATTGCAGCAGTATGTATCAGCAGTCTTTCCTAAAGTCTCCAGGGAAAGAATTTCGACTTTTGTGGAAATCAAAGCTAAAGGCGTAAGCCCGTTTAGACTGTTTAAAAAAGTCCTCGAGCGTGATGAGCTGTCCTATTTCGTGGAGGAAAAATCCAAAGAAAATTTCGACAGACGTGATATTTATCCCTTGGAGGTGCCCTGTGCAGACAGTGCTGCAACAAAAGAATTAAAAATAGAGTCGTGTACCCAAGAGTATTTCTCCGACGTTATCCTATCTTCTGCCGAAACTCAGAAGTTGTTCCCCAACAACATCCTGGTATTTGACTGGTGCCCATATGAGCCTCTCGGATCAAATATCGTGTTAATCCCGGAAAAAAAACATCGCCTTTACTTTTTCGTAGGGAAATGTTTCATCAAAGGCTGCCCGAAATCTTTTAGTTATGGTGTTCACACGCAGACAGTTAAAGCCACAAAATGGGAGGCCACAGTTTACACCGATGATCCAGCTGTCTTTGAAGCTCATCTTCTGTATCAGTTCAAGCTTGCCCGTGAGATCATCGAAGGCAAATTCACCTTCTTTTCAGTTCAAGATAGAATCATGACACCATTTGCGCGAAGGGTACTGGGGGAAATATTGCAGCTGAAAGAGGCCAATTTTCTAAACGACGAGACTATGAAAGTGTATGAAAGACCTTTCAATCGTTAACAAAGGTTGTTTTGATTAAGGCGTCTGTTAATCATTGCCGTACCGTAAATGGAAACTGTATGTTTGTATTTGAGATAGCCTGCGTGCCCTTTTGACGCCTGCTACGCAGGCTATATTTGAGATCTGTGGGTACTGAATGTATCGTACAGTCAAAACAGGCCATCAGGAGCACTCCCGTATAGATTCTATATTTTAAGAATTCATTATTTAAGTTGAAAATTGAATTCGTTTAATCTTTTCTAATTTTAGATTCATATTTTTATTCTTGCATAAGTAATGAGCTGTTAATTTCAAGGCCTGGTAACTAAAATTTCATGAAGGCACTTATATCGAATGAGCCGTGACTACGAGGAATATTATTCAACGAAAGTTTGAAAGATTTTCAGTCGGTGGTCAGAGAAGTTGCGGTGTAAGATTCAGTGCAGAAATGCAGATTTGAATTTTATGCCCCCTATCAGACTGGGAGCGAACTCAATTTTCAAATAATCAGTTCCGGCTTTAATAGAGGTTAATAGCATCTTTAAGGGTCGCTCAGTATATAGATTGTATTTCATTAAGTGTTTCAAGTTAATAGGCGGGTACTGGCCCTTCTTATGTAATCTGCAACAAGAAGTAGCCAATGTTTTATAGAAATTGTGTGTATATATTTCTCCTCCTGACCAAGTTGTCAAAGCAGAGAAGAACAGACACACCTGCAGACAAAGGACCAAACGGTTTCCTACACTACCGTAAGAGAATTACAAAATTTTTGACTCATAGAACAGTTTACTTGTCGCATTACCAATATTAATAAATCATAGAAATGACTTTACCAGAGAAATTACAATACATATATATATATATATATATATATATAACGGGTCCATTTTTGTAAAACTGCATGGAGGGGTATGATTCCGAATATGCAAGGTAAAATATTAGATGTCAGCAGTAGTATCTTATCGGCTTTGCTTCGCATCGTTTAGTATTAATAAACTTAATATACGCTGCACCAAACCATTGTTTCGTTTTAAAATGTCACAGCAACACTAGCATACAAATGTCTAAAATTGTTTTTGGTTCTATATCATCGTTTTGGAAGGCCCGGGTCAGGGGCATACGGGATTGGTACTTTTTATTATTATCACCATCTTTTTTTTCGTGTGCGTTTTATTGAAATTCGTCTTCGTCTCATATTAAAAAACGCATAATAGAAAACTTGACGAAATCCAGTCATCGTGACCGGACGCTAAGTGTGCCAAATCTTTACGCCAGACGCTATGACCCATTCTTCCTTAGTTTGTGAAAGAGACGGGGAACTTCCCTCCTTTGCGCCGTGCGCGTCCCCCAATTAGGCAAAGGCAAACTGTGACACCCTAAGGACAAATCATGACTATTTTACCCCACCGCACATGATAATTTTCTTTATTTCAACGGGTACAGTCGCTTTGTCTTGTTTTTCTTCTATATAACAAAAGCAGCCATTTCATGTGCTTATAACCCAAGCCAGGGAGGTTGGGGGGGGAACTCCCATATGAAAGAAGCGTGGATATTCGTCAGAAATGTTTTAAGTTAAACCCCTAAAGGAGACCAATCTGGACGTGGCCCAAGTTTTTTTTTACCCCTAAAAGAGACCATTGTAAACTTTGATTACATGAATCGAGTAAATAAAACGAATTGAAAATATTTAACTTTTTATATTTCTTTCGTGATCTCTTTCGTGCGACCCTAAAAGAGACACTCATGGCTGAATACAGGAGCTCCCGCTAAATATAATGGCGTTTTGCCCACAACACCCGAAGTGAGATCAAAATCCGAAATTTACACACCTAAGCGAGACGACGAGCCGCTTTCATATGGGAGTGCCCCCCCTCCGGAACCTAAGTACCAGGCCTTCCTTAGAGGCTTAAAGGAGACAAGGATACTAGCTCCCCTGAAAATTTTGGTAAGTAACATATAGTGTCTGGGATCTAAACAACCTGCCAGACCAGGAGCAATATTATAATAGGATTCAATGGTTCCTGTCGTTGCTTTAAAGGCCGCAGGATACCCAAAGACGGGGCATCGACCACACAGTAAGTGCATACTTCATCGAATTCGATAGACTCTCCGGACAGGTACTTCCGTTGCCCCCATACCCTGGATCGCGGCCTTTTTTCAGTAGTGGGTACTTTTTCTAAATTGCACATGTGTAGACAGCAATAAACAAGAATTTTTTATGGTTGACTTAGTTGATAAAGTTCATTGGTCACCATAGAGAGATTTGGCAAAAACGGCTCGAGTGGTCCGCTGAGTGGAAACCGGTTGTTTCGATATATACAAGCTGATGCAAGTCGTTTAGTAGCTCGAGATAAAGGGTTACTCAGCTTCGTAAATTGTTATCCTTTGAGGAGGAGCGTGGCGTAACGAGACTATGATATTAGCCTGTTCACAGACACTCCATTTTCTCTCAGAAGTCCGCCAAGTGCGCGTGATAGTAAAAATAAAAACCCCGGGGATGACCGCTAGCGCAAGGGGGTAGGGGTGGGGGAAGAGCTTAACTCGGCGCTCGTTCTCGCGCGCTTGCCGTTTATCGAAAAGAAAAATAAAGTAACGTCTGTGCACAGGCTATCTGTACACAGGCACCTAGCAGATGCTCTGTGTAGACAGTGCTGCAACAAAAGAATTAGAAATAGAGTCGTGTACCCAAGAATATTTCTCCGACGTTATCCTATCTTCTGCAGAAACGTAGAAGTTATTCCCCAACAACGTCCTGGTGTTTGGTGCCCGTTTGAGCCTCTCCGATCGAATATCGAGTTAATCCCGGAAAAAAAAACCATCGCCTTTACTTTTTCGTAGAGAAATATATATATCAAAGGCGGTCCCAGATCTTTTAGTTATGGTGTTCACACAGAGACAGCAAAAGCCCAAAAATGGGAGGCCACATTTTTACATTATCTTCGAAGCTGCACCAATTCAATCGTGCTCGTGAAATCAACCGAGACAACTTTACCTCCTACTCAGTTCAGGATAGAATTATGACACCAAGTGCTCGAAGGGTACTGGCCGGAAGGGGGGGGGGATATTAGAGCTAACAAAGGCCATCTTCACTTCCTGAACGGCGAAGCGATGATAAAAAGTGCACGAACGGAATTAAAGGTCAACGGAACTCGATTCTTAACTAGCTTTAACTCTTGCTAAAACTGGGGGAAACTAGACTCAAATGGCAACTTGCTTGCGCGGAGGAGCCGTCACTTCTCGATCTGTGACTGGGATCAAACCACTAACTGGTACGGCATCAGATAAAACAGAACTAAACTTTCGTTACAACAGCGTTTATTCTTCTCAGCAATCACTGGCAATAACTCAGGCAGTACACGGCGAAATGATCAGCAAGGCAATCGGCGTTTTCATCGATCCACGATGTACTGAATCGACGATGTGATCGCAATAGCTTACTTATATATGATCTCTACAAGGTGCTATTTTAAAAAGTAAAAGAACTGAACTAAAGACCTAAAGCTAGATCAGCAAAACAGCGTTTATGTACAAAATAATAATGCTTCATTCACACCAAAACCTAAACTTGGTTAAAAGCTGTTTAGTTAAACATGGTTCAAAATTGTCTTCTTCATAAACGCTGCGGACTTTAGGATATTATATGCAAATTACAGAGTGAGTTAAATTTGATTTCAAAATTGTGTAAATATCTGAGCTCCAGTTTTCCATCATTGCTTTTCATTTTTTAAAACCTAGTTTAATTAAACATTTTTAGTTGGTGTGAATGGGACATAATTAAGTAATTACAATATGAATAAATTCGTAAGCTCAGCAAACGGGTATTTAAACACTCATGAAGAAGCGCACTGACTAATTGCTAGTTTTCACCTTAAACAAAAACAGAACTAATCTCAAAAATTGCAAGCCAGCAAAACTTTTCGCATTCAAAACTCGGCTGTTGCGTCTAATAAACTAACAATTTAATGAAATACATATCACTAAAACATGGTCAAAGCAAATATTTGAAAGTTAGTTATAAACTATTATATTAACAATTATTCCTCGAGCCCGAATGGGATCTGAGTCAATAGCTAGCCCACGAGTAAAATCCAGCTAGTTGGTAAAAAATATCGAGACAAAACAACTTTAGGTAGCAAAACGCGATTCAGCCGCTATTGTTTTGGCTTTCAAAGCCGCGCTTTTCGCTAGCTAGTGGGCTATAACATACAGCATAATAGTAGCTCAACCAATCAGAACGTAGCATTGATAATAGACCACTAGCTGAATTTTACTAATCATGGAAAATCCCCTCTCCTTACAGCGCACAGAGCCTTGTTCACGTTATCTATAATTTAGGAAAAGGGAAGAAATTAGATATATCTTCTGTTCATCGAACTTATCGATCCAGGTACTTTTCATAGATTTTGATCTTGCAAAATTTGATGCACAAGGTATTGAAATGACAATACCGCAAAGGAAAGGAAATAAAAGGAAAAAGGAAAGCAGGTGAAAAATATCCTTCATTTTTTTGTATTCCGGTTAATACGAATATTACAGACTTTCCTTAAAATAGGTATAGGGAGCACGAGTCAGAAAAACCCCATAATATTCACTTTCTCAGTAATGTTTGGGAAAACAAATGAATCATTCTTGGCTTAGTTACCTAAAGTTTAATATACACTACTATTATTTTTAGAACTTTACCTTGCAAAATTAGTGAGGCAAAACTATCCATCTGATGAGCCATAACCGTTCAAGATCTGGATTTGGCGCGAAGTTTTACATTTAGCGACTGATACTTAGTCTAGTCGTGGTTTTAACTCCACAAGTATGGAACCAATAAAATGTCATTGGTGTTACTGTTTTCTGAGGGAACGATTTCAATGCTATCGTAGCCCAGTAGGTCTAAGAGATTTTCCACTGTGGCATCGGCATTAAAAAGTGTTTTCAGCGATGTGTTTGGAGAAATTGCAGTAAATCCATATATGAATTCGGGGCTCAACAGTTTTTCAGGCTTGTATATCTTAAGGGGACGTTTCTGAGGCGGATTTACGAACCATTCATACTCATCAAGCTTCTTATAGCACTCCTTAGGGTAATCTTTAAAAAGAGGGAAAAATCCGTCCATGCCTGTAAATCCATCGATAGCTGCAATCAGGATAGGAGGCAAGTAGTCAAGACCCATGTGCAGCTGTAAAAGCTTTGCGTAGACTAAACACTGATGCAAATGCTTCCCACACAAATCAGTTCTTTTCTGCCAATAATCTAACAAACTGTAGACTGCTTTAAAATCCACGATGACATACTTTTTAAGTTCCGTACTGTATGCAATAGCATCAACTATTCCTCTCCAAAGATACAGTTCAGGATTTTTCTTTGCGTCTGTAGCAACCTCTCTCATGAAGCCAAACAGTGGAAACGTGTTATCAAGGAAGCGTAGGTTTTGTTTCTTTTCGACGATGGAAATGAGTTCATGGGCTGCACGCTCTTGGTCACGCTCTGGCCGCGGTAGCGGACCTGATCTCAAGCGTGAAACGTGCAGAGCTATCAGAGTTTCAGTGGAGGACTTACAGACCGCACGATTCTCTTTGATCCAATTTTTTAAGAGCGTATCCCATTCTCCGCCTGGGCATTCGTATGCACAAGAAAACCTAGTTAGCCCAGGTACTTTTCCTTTTTTCTGTGCAAATCTTAGGAAGTTTTTCTTGACACTTTCGTTAATCTTAAGTGGAAGCAAGAATAAACACATAACGATCAAAATACACCTCAAAATGTTACAAAACTGTCTACTCTATAGAACGACCAGGACGGAAACTCACCGGCTTTTCGTACTGAATTTTCTGCGAATGGCTTGGTATCGATGGATTTAATACATCGCCCACAAAAATGCCTCTTTTCTCCAGCGTATTCTTATGATGTTTGGCAATACTATCTTTTTCTATTCTTTGTTTAAGATCATGAAGAATCTCCCTTTTTCTTGGATGATCTAAAAAGTTCGCCATTTTGAAAGCGGAAGAGTTTTCTTTTATGTTGCTAAAAATCGTGGTGCACGGTCATTGGCTAATTCATTTCATTTTCATAACAAAGTGGCCACCTGCCCCAGCTTTATATTTATATATCTCTATATAGGAAGTCTGTGTTTCGATTTTTCCGTAGTAGAGTGCTCGATACGTTAAAGTAGAGCGTGATATAAATATTGGAAGTAGGAAAAAAACTACACTTTCGTCCCGAAAAGCCTGTTCCGTGATCGCTCACTCTTCAGGGGATTTTAATGATAAGAATATTCATAACCATCCACTAAACAGGCTTGTCGGGATGAAAGTGTAGTTTTTTTCCTACTTCCAAAATTTATATCTCTCTCTCTATATATGTATATATATTTTTTCCCTTTATTTTTCTCTCGTCCAGAAGAAAATAATTTCCGTCTGACTTCGTACCTCCGGAAAGAGCGGGAAACGTATAGCAAGGCCCTTTCCCTGAGGTTTTAGGGTGATGAGGCGGCGGGTGTAAAACTGGATAGTTAAAGACTCGGAGTTTCCGGAAGCTTATCGATGGTAGCACGCGATATAACGTTTTCAATGTACTCTAACACGTATCACTGATGCACTGATAATCGATGAACACGTTGCCTGTGTGAAATCTACCAAAAACTTCATACCATTCGTTTTTGTTTTCCTGTCATCAATTTAGCCGGTTGTATGGTTGTCTGAGCGGTCAGTATAAAACACGGACTGCGGACTGCGGACTGCGGACTGCGGACTACGGACTGCGGACTGGTTATAAAATACGGACTAGGTATAAAAGGCGGACTGGAAAATACGGACTGGGTACAAAACACGGACTAGGTATAAAACGCGGACTGCGGACTGCGGACTGGGTATAAAATACGGACCACGGACTACTTTGGTAAAAACGGTGCTAATTGGTTCTAGGTAAGGAAAAATAAGATCAAAAGATCGCTAAATAGCAAGACACGTGAGTTAAAGTTGTAAATACTCCTATAAATTCTTGGTGGAGGTGTGCCGCCCGGTTCTCTGAATCATGAGCCGGATCAAAATGCTATTTTCTTCACCCATTTTTAGACCTTGTCTCGGTCTCTAACAATCATGAAAGGGGTTAGGATCAGGGGGGTACTCCCTTATATAAGGGAAGGGTAGGGGTTTTGGGCCTTTTTGGTCTGAAAACACTTTGCCCATTTTGGTCTGGAATCGGGTATGGTTTTTCGAGGGAACTACGGGAGCGTACACTAATGGACGTATTTATCGTTTCAATTCCAAATGAATAAGAACGAAATAGAAATGTGCGAATTCGAAATGCATTTGGAGAATTTTTTTTGTTTCCGCTCTAACTTGGTAATGATGACATAATTTTTGCGTAATTATACCTAACCTGTTCCAGGCTTCGAGATAGCTGGGTCCGCTGAATTGAGAAAGCGCGAACACGAAAATAAAACGGGAAAAAACTGGGGAGTCTCCCCAGCTATCTGAGAGCCGGGAACAGGCCAAATTAGGCCAGGACCGACAAGACCCGACAATGGGTATGGATTTTAGAGATCTGGTCTGAAAATGGGTGTGGAAAATAATATTTTTTGGTCTGCAATAAGGTCAGGATTCGGAGAACCGGGCACCACCCCCCACCAAGAATTCCTAGTAGTACCCCCCTCCGGGCATCAGGAGCAGGGTGTAAATCATGTCATCATAATCATCCCTTGGAATATAACGTTGGATGACTCATTTAGGTTATTATTCACGTATGTGAGTAATCCCTCCCCCTTGCCCTCTCCCCTAAATACCGCTTTTGTGCATCGCGGAATGCCCTACATTGACCTTCTCGTCTGAGTTCTTCATTCCTCATACGGAATTGTGGCATTCCACAAGAATTTTACTGATCTGACTAACACCGATGCTATTTTTTTAATTCGGTGCTTCTTATTGGTTTAAAACTGCAAATTGAAATCTCTTCTAACTCCTTCTTTTTATAAAATTCAGAGTTAAATCTCAGTTGCCTTGAGTACCGGCATAACCTTCCTTCTCCGTGGGAAGAATAGACTACGTGAACAGCCGAGGGAATGTTAAAGCTGGGACTACTGTTTTTGCTAGTCCGCTTTCCATTTCTTTCACTTTTACCTTTCTAAAGCTATTTTTATTTACACAGTCCTTAGTCCGCGTTTTATACCCAGTCCGTGTTTTATACTCAGTCCGGAGTCCGCATTTTATACCTAGTCCGTATTTTATACCCGGTCCGCAGTCCGTGGTCCGCAGTCCGCAGTCCGTGTTTTATACTGACCGGTTGTCTGAGACTGTTATTGACGGAAGTCCATAGTTTATTCAGGTTGTGTAAAATACGACAGTATTGACACAAGAAAGGGTTTTCTGTAGGACCTCTATGTCACGACGTGAGTGACATGATCGCAATGGTGATTTCGACCGTTGGAGGTAGAAGCTTCGTAGATTGACTCATTTACGCCAAAGAACCGGCGGCCACGACCATAGACGTTCTACAACCACAGACTTGAAGTAAATAATGAACATGTCACTATACTGAAGAACGAAGGATTCGTCTATGAAGCTGATTAAAAATTTAATTATCAGGCTCCAGCACTGTGCGATGTCATCATACAGTGTGATCTATTCCAGCTACAACAGGTTAAAAAACGACAGATTTTACTAACGGCAATGAGTGAATTGGGAGGAGGGGTACCTTGAGGAGAAGAAGGAGGGAGGAGAGGGTGGGAATTCCAATTCTCGATAAAAACAATTTCCGTTTACAGTCAAATTTCAAAACGGACACCCTGTTAATGCCGACAGCTTGGGTAGGTGTAGGAGCTGCTCGGAAGGTCTCTCCTAATTGGTCGAAGGAAACAATGACCTGCCATTCTTCCAATTGTTGTTTAATATTGTTTGGGGTCAGGGAAAAGCACCATTGGCCGCAGTTAGCGTTTCTACAACGTTTTACGGAGGGGCACAATGGTCAGAGTATCTGCATAATGGGCATCGCGAGGTGAAAAATGGGCATTGCAAGGGGATGCTCGGCCCCGAGGTCCAACCCCTTAACCTTTTATATCCCATTTTTCACAAAAAAGGTACCCCTTTTGTATACCTTCTATTGACAAATGGTACCCCTTTCACATACCTTGTTTAGAATTTTGCATTCTTTGTAACTGCTGTAAGACTAAATACATGCTTAGTCAATTTAAGTTGTATGATTTCAGTCAAAGTTAATAATGCACCGTTAGAAAGAGTAATTAAACATAAATCTCTTGGAGTTCAAATTGATTATTGTAATTGATAATTATAATTATGAGGTTCGCTCAAGTTTTTTGTTGAATGAGCTTGGCTGGGAAAGGTTAGAACATGTAAGACTTAAACAGTTGGCTGTGACAATGATAAAATCTTTCCGGAGGTACGAAGTCAGACGGAAATTATTTTCTTCTGGACGAGAGAAAAATAAAGGGAAAAAATACATATACATATATATAGAGAGAGATATAAATATTGGAAGTAGGAAAAAAACTACACTTTCATCCCGACAAGCCTGTTTAGTGGATGGTTATGAATATTCTTATCATTAAAATCCCCTGAAGAGTGAGAGATCACGAAACAGGCTTTTCGGGATGAAAGTGTAGTTTTTTTCCTACTTCCAATATTTATATCACGCTCTACTTTAACGTATGTAAGACTTAAACAGTTGGCTGTGACAATGTATAAAATCCATAATGATCTTTCCCCGTCACATCTGAGGCGGATCTTTACCAACACCTCAAATGTACACTCCCACAATCTTAGAAATTCGGAGGTAAATTATTATGTCCCCAGACCCAGAACTGAGTCTGCAAAAGGGAGCCTACACTACAGTGGATCTGTTCTGTGGAACAAGATCCCTCAGCAGAGATTAGAAACCTGCCTAGTTTAAATGTTTTCAAAACTTCATTTCATGGGAAAGATTATCTTAATACACTATGACTCATTGTAACTCTTATTGTAATATCAGTTTTTGTATTTTTAACTTTATATAGTCAAGTAGTTTCTTAGAGGATTTTAGTAGAACTTTACACACGATTCCTAGGAAGACCATGTAAAAGTGATACGTTTTCGAGTATAAATAAACATTGATGATGATGAATGTTTTCTCGCCCGCCTTTGTAAAGCCAAAAAGTTCATCTGCTAGCCCTTTTGGGCCCTTTCAGAGACCCTAATGACAGATTTCCCTATCCTTTTATATACTTCAACTAGTGAAATCCCTACCCTTTCATATGGGCCTGAAGACTGAGAAAGATACCCCTGTCAGGCGGAGCCTCCCCGTATAGGCCATCATAGGGAGTACGCCCCCCACCCCCCCTCCATATTGTAGTGGGACAGTTTATGCTGTCATATATGAAGTAGATAATACTAGAAACCGGTCTGAACCGCTCCGAGGAATAACACATGCGTTGCTTCTGTACAAGAGTAGATTGGTATGTCTCGTAGTGATTAAAGTGTTGTGTTCTCAGTTCTACTTGTATCAAATCCTTCTACAATATACCTCAATGACAAGCCCTTTAAAACTTGGTCCTGCAAGCAGAGACTTGGCCAAATTTAAGAACAAAATCTCCATACTCATATCGCTAAACTTTTTCAT